ATTGGAGAAGAAAAACAAAACAAAAAAGGATCAAATAGCTTTCTAGGGATTGTGTAACTAAGAAACATTTTCTTTTTTTTTTTTTTTTCTTTCTTTTTTTTCTTGTAAATTAGTGAAAAGACTTAAAACATACCAAATAGAACAAGTTGTTTGAAAAATCAGCTCTTCCAAAAATTTCAAAATCAAGCTAGGTATTTTTGGCTCATCTACCCTACGTTGCAATTTACAGCTGTTTATGTTTTCAGCCCTATTTCCCCCACCCATCCCTTTATAGTGTAGACACACACACACATATATATATACATATGTATGTATGTATGTATGTATGTATGTATGCATACAGCTAACAAGTTATAGCCTTTATCATATGAAAAAACCAACGGCTGGTGGAAATACTGCCAAAAAGAAAATTCTTCTTTTTATTCGAACCAAAGACATATATTCATAAGTTAAAAAAATTAACCACTTGTATTATTATACAGAGGAATACAACTGTWTCCTTTTCAATCATGCCTGTCATACAGACAGGTCATTTTTTCAAAAGACATTGCCAATTGATCACTGTTCTGGTACATACTACACTCAAGTCTTACACTGAAGTTAATAAATATATATATACATACATATATATAAAGAAGAAATAGAAAAGAAGAAAATACAGTCGTGCTCTGCATAAACATTATTTTATAGTAAGAAGCTTGTCCTTTGCAATTAAGCAGCAGAGGTCAGGTAGGCATACACCTCAATGCCTTGGGTTACACTCAGAGCTGATTAGTAGCACACCGAGCAGTCACCTCAGGAGTTGGAAAGAAAAGAAAACAACAACAAAAAAAACAGTAACATAAAATAAATGCAAAGCACATTCTAACTCAATGCAGGAAAAATAGAAGTCAAGATGTAAAAATATAAATATACTTACAAACCTTAACCCACAGGATAGATTGGACTCAAGAGTGCTTTTAAAAAACAAAACAAATCCCAACCCTTTCTTCTACATTTTAAAATGTATTTTGCTACTGACATGTTTACCACGGCATTTTGATTTTTACAGTGTAACTGCACAGATCCTGAGAGTATCTTATCAGCCCTGAACCTGAATGAAATGTAGGTGTCAGGGTTATGTCATTCCTACCTCTGACATATAGATTGGCAGGGGCAGAATAGCGTGTACCCGCACTGTTGGTTGCAACACATTCATATTTGCCTTGGTCAGATTCTTCACTGAGTTCAATTTGGAGGGCACCTGTACAAATATAAAATATATTGCCAAAGAGACAGTCAGAGAAGGCTTTTTGTAACCATAACAATATACCCCTTAACAATATGAAAAGCTTGTATGCGAAGGTCCACTCAACGCCGGTTCGCTTTCTTGCTAAGGTGCACAGACAGAAAATGATGCAATGAAAAAAACAAAGAGATTATTTTTTTCACATCATCAGTGCTAGCACAGGAAAACAATTTTCATTTGGCAAAACAACCCCTCTCTAAACAATACATTTTTTCCTAAACCATTAAAATGAAGATGGGTGAGACTGCTTCAAGGAAGAATGGCTTTTAAATTAAACAAAATAGATTAAACATTTGGGTCATTATAGATTTTTGATTTTTATTTTATTGCTTTGATTTTGTAACAAAAGTAGCACAAAAGGTGGTACTCGCAAAAAAGCAGGGCAGGCTTCAAGAAATCTTCTGCTGAAGAAAGCCAAAAATGTGCAGCAAGAACAAAAAGGCTGCTTGAAGTGAAAAAAAAGAAATCACATTAGTTATTTATAATTATCAAAATATTCTGTTAAAGAAATAAGACTCCCTTAAGACATGCAGATTGGTAAGAAAAGAAAGACATTTTTCCGCAACTTACAATCTTAAAGTACGTTTGCTGAAAAACAAAGAGCAGTTGAATTAGAAGACAAAAAAAGTTAAAAAGCATGGTCTATGCCAACAAGGAAGAACCAATCAACCACTGCTGTGGACTATAGAAGGGCCCCCCCTCTGACACCCATCAAAATCCACAAGTGGGATTAGCAGTGTGGTGTCACAAAACCCAAGAAAAATACAAAACAAGAATTACGAAAGAAGTCAACATTTTTGCCAAAGTATCAAAAACCAACAATACCACATACCACCAAGAATTAGTCATCAACCTTTCAGTTCCAAAGCCTGTAGATTAGAAGCTCCAAAAATCCAGAGACGAGATAACTCCAAGAAAAAGAAAACCAAAAAAAAACAATAAAGGAGGAAAAAAGCATTTCTGCAGCCTCGTAGGGGGGGAAACTATTTTCAACTTTATGAAGTTAAAAGAAAAAAGCATTGAAGAAGAAAGAACAAAAACAAAAACCTTATTTGAAAGATAAGATAAAAAGAAGGTAATCCATGTTGTCTTCTGCATGTCTGCTACTGTTCTCCAGACCATCTTGGCTTTGGTCCAGGACAAGAACAGCTAAGGAAGAAAAAAAATGATCTTTTTTTGCTCCAGTTGGACAAAAAAAAGAAAAAGAGGAAGGAAAAAAAAAAGAAAAAAAGAAAAAAAAAAAGAAGAAAAAGAAGAAAAAGAAGAAAAAGAAGAAAAAGAAGAAGAAGAAGAAGAAGAAAAAGAAAAAAGAGGGACAAATGGTACGCTGTGACTGGGCTATGGCCAGAAGATCGGGATATGCTTTCTTTGAAGCATATCACAAATCAAATTATCATTTCTTTATTTATTTTTTTAATGAATAAACAAAAAAGGGAAAGGAAAGGGGAGTGTGCAGAAAGAAAGGTCACAATATGAGAGTCACTGATCATAACCAAACAGGACAAAGGAAAAAAAAAAAAGATAATGAACATTTCTGTGTTTTTTTTTTTTTAAAAAAAAAAAACAGGACAAAGATGAGATGAGTGAAAAGACAGAAAGAATGAGTAAGATCATTCTGTGAACGTTAGTTCAGCACTCTTACCTCTTATTGGTGTACCACCTGGGTGGATAATATGAATGCAAATAAGATTAGAAAGAAGAAGCATTAGTACGAGAAGAAGGAGGCTAGGGCTTTGGAAGAAGAATCAAATTAGATTTACAGAATTAAATAAGGTCTTAAGAGAAACTTTTACTATACTGTTAAAACAGGAATATATTAGATAGTATTATCAGGTTATAAAAGCAAGTTGCATTGTACCACAAGGGCAAAGGCTACAATTGGCTGCACTGCCATTCTCAGAGTAGCATCTGAGTTTTTATGTGTTTGGTAATACAGGGTGAGATATATATTGAATATGCCTCAAGTACTTAAAGGAAACTTCACAATACTGCACTTATTACATAGTTTAGGAAAATACTGGATATTCTATATTCTATTTAAATATTATATATATATATAATCTATATATATATAAAAAAAGAGAGGAWACACTGAAGGCTATCTGGAAACAAACACTGCAGTTTAGGCTGGATTATGGCATTTACTGTCCTATATCTATGTGGTAAATGTGTACTGTCTCATCTAGGTGTTGCTAGGACTGATACGACATTTCTGTGGAGGTGTGCGTGTGCGCCACTATAAGGATCTGGTGACTACACTGACTGTTAGTAAAATGCATGCCATGCATTTTAAGAATAATAATAGTAATCATAATATAATAATAATAATATTCTGAATATGGAAATTAGTGGGGGTGAAGTGCGCTTCAGAACTAAGCACTTACCAATAGATTCTGGAGATTTAAATACGGAGAGAAGAAAGACAGCATAAAAATATTATTATATTCCTTATAATTTGGTACAAAGTTTTCAGTTAAAGCTTTATATACTAAATCATCTATGTCACATGTGAAAAATTAATTCTTAATTTACATTAACAGAAGGTTAATTTACACAGTTCTGCTGACAACAAGCAAAGAGTCAGTTAACAAGACGATTTAACATCACAGGACAGGTCAAAAGCTGAGAATTCTGGGAAGACATGTGATTAAACAACTTAGATTCTACAATGATATCTACTACAATTGCCAAAGAAAAAAAGTTCTTTATATCCCCAGTATATTATTTAGGGATAAGATTTAAGCTTTATAAATTTAGAGGCTTTTCTTTTTCACTTTTTTCTTAATCTAAAGAGAGTAAAAGAATAAACTAGGGCGGAAGGAGAGTGAAAGGACTACTAGGGAGGTGCAACGGGTAAAGAGAAAGAGAGCAGCAAAGGCTGGATTCTGCATCAAAAGCAGGCTTCTGTAGATCCAGACAATGTAGGATTCGTAAAGCTTTGCGTGGGCGCACACTACTGTGGCTAAATGTGTTGGAAAAGCACTCAGCCAGAAAAAACAAAAACAAACAAAAAACACACAAAAACTTCAATTCCATAGGCTTCACACCCAAGCTTTTTTTTTTTTTTTTTTTTTTTTTTTTTTTTAATAATTGTGCACGGGAAAAAGTATTGTGTTTTATGTACTTGTGAGAGGAAAGAAGATGTGTCCAAACTGTCTAATCTTTGGTGGAGTCAAATGCGGAAAAGACAGCACAAAACACATTTAAAGTTTTAATTAAAGTGTGTAATATGCAGGTTTTGGTTTTGATGAGTATAACCATTGGCACTCCTTGCAATTTCTGAATGAAGTCCAATGTTGAAAGAAATTTGTTAAAAAAAAAATAAAAGGAAAGAAGAAAGAAAGAGGAGAAAATGGATCTATCAAGTACTGCAAAAAGCAGTAAAGAAAAAAATTACCAAAAAGTACAGTCACAGCAGTGAGCAATGTGGAGTAAACAGAAGCTGCAAAACGCACAGACAGACTCTAGAAAAGGCTATGACAACATCACAGACATGGACAACACACTCAGTAACACAGAGAAGAGAGGAGGAAGAGAAATTATTACCTATAAATAAAAAGAATAAAAAGGAAAGAAAGAAAAGAAAGAAAAGGTGTGAGAGAACAACTTTAGGCATTAGTGGAAACAGTTACAAGACCCTACCTGATCTTAACTGCTTGATGCGGCCGTTGTTGTTGCTTGTATCAACAGGTAGGAAATCTTTGAACCAAGTTATTTCGGGATCAGGATTGCCACTGGCTGCACATAGCATAGTAGCTGTACGAGTTCGTTCAACCACCTTCAGCTGTGGACCCATATCAATGGTGGGGAAACCTCGGGGTATCTGATCCTCTGCAAAACAAATGCACAGTTACATGGCATTTCATTATAGCTTTCTAGTAACTCCTGAAAAGCTCAACTGACTGGCTGATTATCATGAAAACTTCCCCTAAGAATGGTCAATATGCAAAGAACTGATGAAAAAGCAGACCCTCGGGGAATATTTTTGGTCACTTACAATGGTCAGTTTGTGGATACAAAATGAAAGCTCCATTAAAAAAAGCAGATGTTACAATTAACTTATTAACTAACTTATTAACTAACAACTTTATACAATTAATACAACTTTACAATTAATTACAAAAGGTATTGACTCAGCTTAGACTCAGCATATTGTGCATATTCATTTGATTTCCTCTGCAGAGTCATTTTTTTAAACAAGATGTCTCTTGGTAGTATGTGAAATAGTGTGAAAAAAATTCCTTCTTTCTGTGAGACAAGTACAACATGTATGATGATGCATCCAAGTTCTGGCCCAGCAGTCAAGTTAGGCCAAGTTTTGTTTTTTTTTTTTCCACAAACTGCCTATCTGTTTTTGGWCTGTGACATTTAATGCAAGTGTGTTTTGGATGTTAGTCAGGTAACAGTGCTTTACAACCTCAGAAAAGCACTATAAGTATGAAGGCATTTCACATTTGCAAAACACTGAGATAACACAGACTTCGTGGCTATGCAAGTATCATACCTAAAGCAATTTTGAATGAATATAGCTATGTTAACCAAATCACTCTGTTACGGTCAAAAACACTTGTTCTAGTGTTGTTAATAGTGAAAAACAACTTCAAGAAATACTAAACAATTGCAATGAATCCTCTTAGAACCATGCATCCTAGCAGGTAACTCAAGAAGCACAGGAAGAGCTATTTCATGTCAACTACACTGTTTCCYTTGCATGGAAACTGCATGATCTTTATAAATAATCTCGGGGAAGTCTTTGGACTTTTTTTCTGAAGAAAGTGTAGCAAGCAATTGTATCCAACTTGCCTTGCAGTTCCTAGGGACTTAAATAGACCTTAAATAAATAAATATTGTTCTTCTATAGTCAGCCTAACTGCCTGTAAGTCTGCACTGCTCATCAGAGACAGTATCTCTACCAATTGGTACTGTCAAATGCTTCACTAGCTATAGGCTCTTCCCAAAGAAATGTATGTCTCATAGCCATTTATAAACATGAAGTCTTTACTTTGGGCAAAACTGACAAGATTTGACTTGTGACACAGATTAAGTGTTTAAATGCATTTTCATGACCTTTCCTTTCTTAGCTCAAAAAGAACACTCCAGAGTCCCTTTTGCAGATACAAAAGTGCACAACAAAGATAATCTATCTTGCATACTAATGTAATGGAGTAGTAACGAGCTTTCCTTTCTTATTTTTAATATGGGTAATTAAATTCCATCCATCCCTCTTATGCATAGAACCTCTTTGAATGAATGCTCTTCATTAAATTTTCATGAGAAACATCACAATGTAAGACATTCAAATACCCAGAACTGTTATACTTTGACAGTTGTGGCTTATTTCCAATCTGGCTTTCAGGTATTTGGCAATAAAACCCAATATTCAACATAAAATGGACTGGGGAAATAATAGAGTTTCTAAYTGGAATGCTCATCTCAGTGGATTTTGTTTTTAAGATGTTAATTGCTTTTTTTTCTCTCTCTAAATTTATTAGTGATTTGTATAAAACTGTCTCTACCGTTTGATGATACCAAGTTTGACAGATCATCAAACACACTGTGCAACAGACCTGAGCATCAAATCAATGAGCAAGTGCCTCTCAGCCACAGTAATAGAAAAAACAAATATCACAAATTTGTGATCTACTGGTAGTTTTACAGTTTTACATAAGATGAAAAGAAAAATATTTTCTACTGCTCATTAATAAGCTTATTAGGTTCTAAATTGCAGTATATACTGCTATTCCRTATTAATATTCAGTTCTAGTGAATTAATTTCTAATTCATCAAGAATTTAAATCAGATTTGACCTTCTCAATACCATTTGATACTGTCATTTTGAGAGGCCATTAAAGGGCAGATTACTCTATACTTGTGCTTAGTGAGTCATATATGTAAAGCATATTTTGTTTAGAATGGCAGTACAAAAGATTAAAAAATATGGCATGCTTTGAATCTGTTAGACATTAGATGTCTTAGCATGAGTCATCATTAAAAACTACATTCCTTTATAGATTAAAGATACTCTAGTATCATTTCCAGTTGCTGGGAGAGCTCTATAAACTTGCTGCGTGATCTAAACTATAGATGAAGGCAAAGACTGCTTACCCTTACAAGAGAATTATATGAATTATAATTATACTGCTTTATACTCCTACTAAGATTGTTCTTGGAAAGTATTTCTGAACTTCCTATTCATGGCTCAATCTGTTTGTTCATATGTTAAGAAAAAAAAAATCTGTCTGAGATTTTCACTTCTGTTGCAGGTTATGTCAAAGTGCTTCCCTTCTTGGCCACAATTATGGACAAAGCACTYTTCAAAATATAAATTTAACATGACGCTGCACCTGGGTGCTGGGCTTGCCTTCATCAAAATACAACGTTTTTTACACTAGAGGCTCAAACTCAWCTTGTATGTGTAAGCAGTAATTTGGATGATATGGCATTCTGGAATACCTTCATTTCAACTTGAATTGGGATGGATCAAAAAGTAGACACAAAGAAAGAAGACTTAGTCTAACCGAGTTTCTGTATTTTTTCTTGTTTTACTTGAAAACTTTGTTGTATATGCAGCAATGATTTGTTCAATAAGCATCTACTCCATAAACACATTATGTTTTGCTGATGCTGTACAAGTTAGAAWTTTCATAAAAGAAAGTCTGGCTGAAGCTTCTTTTCCAGTGGCAGATGCAGCATGATTTTCTGAATAATTGCAGTTTCTGTAACACAATTATTTTCTTTTCTTTCCCTATCTCCTGTACTTCAACACTGCAATCACAGGATGATTGCATTCTACAGGTTCCTATCTTGTCTGAAATTCTGCACTAAAATAGCTGTATTTTTTCTGTGGGACTGTTTTTAATGATCTCAATACCTAAGTGCAYCAGCTACAGAGGATTCTCTTCCTCTTGGCCTATAGATTGTTACCTTATCAGAGCTCCTCAGAACAGGCAGTTATTAATCCAAGAACAGTAAAAGGTACTATCAGAAATATCAACAGAAATAATCAGAAAACACTGAGTTGAATTCAGCTCCCACCTGAAGGACTACCTGCCCCTGTGTTAGAATCTAACGTATATACCAAACAGTAAAATGTACTCAAAAGGAGTAATTCTCACATAAGATGTGTTTGAGCATAATGCATCATCTAACAGGAAATGTGCAAAGTCTAAGTATACTAAGATGCTAAGGAAGTTTCTTCACAGATTGTGTTAATCAGGGAAAAAATCAGCTTCCAGTTTCATCACTGAAGATGGCTATTTTCAAAATTTCATGTCTTAAAAATACAAAATGTCCTTGAGCATATTTTTCCTTTGGAAAATTCATTTTTTCTAACCTTGCCAATGAATATGGTTTCTTTAGACACATTAGCAAATATTCGTATGAAAAGATTCAGGAGACAATAAGGCGTAGAACCTGTGGTCGTAAAGGTAGAGGGAAAGCAATTAAAAAATAAAAGCAAGTCTTGAACCACCTCTTCATCTCTAATCTACCCAGCCATATAACCCTGGGCACAGCAAGAGCAACACCACAAACTCATGACATGCTTATGACACAATGACTATTTTTCCTGATCATGACCAGTCCCTGCCAGAAACAAGAAGAGTGGCAGCTTTGAAAAACCGATTCAGTCTTAGAACCTTGATTTCTCTATGTCTACCTTACTGAACTTCTCTGACAATCTGAGGAATTCGGAATCCTATAAATATTTTCCTCACTTAGAATATATTGGGATCACATTAGGAAGTTGTGTATTTTAAGTCCAAATTGTTTAAGGCACAAGGGTAGATGGTTGATAAGAATACTGAGTAAAACAGATATAAACATAACCCTCCCCATTTGTACATGTTTCAAAATAGATGTATTGACCTGCAGTTTAATCTGTGTAACTTAAGATAGTTCTGAACTGTATCCAGTATTTCTCTGTGCCTTTGAAAAATGTTGCCTTATGTGAACCAATTACTCAAGATTCACTGATAGCTTTGCTACTGGCAAATTTTAGTCATTCTGCAGCTCAGAGAATAAAAAGGCACACATGGAATCTTCTCAGAATGAACTATAGATACTGAAGATAAATTGCTGCAATAAAGTTTATTATTTCAAAGAACAGTGTAAATAAAGCTTTTATTTTCACTATTCCAGATGGCAGCAGCATATAATTTGTACTGCTTTGACATCATGACCATATTATTCAAAATCATTCTTCCTTCAGTTGAACGGAGCATAGGATTGAAAACAGTAAAATGACAGGGGGGATGCAGGGGAGAAGAAGAGTAAAATCAACATTTTGCAGCAAAGTTGGTATTCTGTACTACTATTGAAAAAATATGCATATGAACAAATTAAAAACTACAAAGGAGTTTCTGATTATAAAAGATTAACTTAGATTGAAATGATTTAAAGAATCAGAAAATTGCCAGTTAATAAACATTATTCCTACTGAAATAATTTACCAAGTAAAATTTTGCCAAAAAAGAGTAATTATGAACACGCTATAAATGCTTTTTACAGGCTCTTCTGCTCAAAASTATTATATACAGACCGATGCTTTAACTTAGTTGTGCTTATTATAAATCACTGCAAGAAGGTAATGACTGCACTGAAGGAATAAAATAGGTATCTACTGGGATTTATCTTAAATTTCAAACAACTATATCACACAACTAAAGGAAATTGGACATTGACAAGATGATCTTGCTAACATTTGCTAAATATTCAACACAAGAACAGCTGTCTGTACCACCTGACTGGAAAACATTCATTAAAAAAAAGCTTCACATATTGAAGAGGTGGGCCAAGCACTTTTGATACAAACGAAAACAATTT